CAGTGTACGGTACAGTGTATGGTACAGTGTACGGTACAGTGTATGGTACATTATATGGTACAGTCTATGGTACAGTCTATGGTACAGTGTATGGTACAGTGTACGGTACAGTGTATGTACAGTGTATGTACAGTGTATGGTACAGTGTACGGTACAGTCTATGGTACAGTGTATGGTAGAGTGTATGGTACAGTCTATGGTACAGTATATGGTACAGTGTATGGTACAGTGTACGGTACAGTGTATGGTACAGTGTATGGTACAGTGTACGGTACAGTGTACGGTACAGTGTATGGTACAGTGTACGGTACAGTGTATGGTACAGTGTATGTACAGTATATGGTACAGTGTATGTACAGTATATGGTACAGTCTATGGTACAGTCTATGGAACAGTCTATGGTACAGTGTATGGTACAGTGTATGTCATTTTTGGTATGCTGCATCTATTACCAAATCTTAAAGGTCAATCTCCTATGTGTGTATGTATGTGTGTTATATTCTTCTTATAATAGTATACTTATACCCTTACTTATAACTATACCTTGAAATAATACAGATATACTCCTATTGATAACAATACCTTATAGTAATACAAATATACCTTTACTTATAACTAAACCTTGAAATAATACAGATATACTCTTATTGAAAACTATGCCTTATAGTAATACAAATATACCTTTACTTATAACTAAACCTTGAAATAATACAGGTGTACACTTATTTATAGCTATATATTATACTAATAAATTACACCCTTACTTATAGCTATACATTATAATAATACAATGCTACCCTTACTTATAGCTATACATTATAATAATACAATTACACCCTTACTTATAACTATACATTATAATAACACAATTATACCATTACTTATAGCTATACATTATAATAATACAATGCTACCCTTACTTATAGCTATACATTATAAGTAAGGGTGTAATTGTATTATTATAATGTATAGCTATAAGTAAGGGAAGCATTGTATTATTATAATGTATAGCTATATGTAAGGGTAGCATTATAATAATACAATGCTACCCTTACATATAGCTATACATTATAATAATACAATGCTACCCTTAATTATAGCTATACATTATAATAATACAATTATACCCTTCCTTATAGCTATACATTATAATAATACAATTACACCCTTACTTATAACTATACATTATAATAATACAATTATACCCTTACTTATATCTATACATTATAATAACACACTTATACCATTACTTATAACTATACATCATAAAAATACAATGCTACCCTTACTTTTAACTATACATTATAATAATACAATGCTACCCTTACATATAGCTATACATTATAATAATACAATTATACCCTTACTTATAACTATACATTATAACAATACAATTATACCCTTACTTATAGCTATACATTATAATAATAAAATACTATCCTTACTTAGAAGTATACATTTTAATAATACAATGCTACCCTTACTTATAGCTATACATTATAATAATACAATTATACCCTTACTTATAACTATACATTATAACAATACAATTATACCATTAATTAGAAGTATAGATTATAATACTACAATTACACCCTTACTTATAGCTATACATTATAATAATACAATGCTACCTTTACATATAGCTATACATTATAATAATACAATGCTACCCTTACTTATAGCTATACATTATAATAATACAATTACACCCTTACTTATAGCTATACATTATAATTATACAATGCTACCCATACTTATAGCTATACATTATAATAATACAATTACACCCTTACTTATAGCTATACATTATAATTATACAATGCTACCCATACTTATAGCTATACATTATAATAATACAATTACACCCTTACTTATAGCTATACATTATAATTATACAATGCTACCCATACTTATAGCTATACATTATAATAATACAATTATACCCTTACTTATAGCTATACATTATAATAACACACTTATACCATTACTTATAACTATACATTATAAAAATACAATGCTACCCTTACTTTTAACTATACATTATAACAATACAATTATACCATTACTTAGAAGTATAGATTATAATACTACAATTACACCCTTACTTATAGCTATACATTATGATAATACAATACTATCCTTACTTAGAAGTATACATTATAATAATACAATGCTACCCTTACTTATACCTATACATTATAATAATACAATTACACTCTTACTTATAGCTATACATTATAATAATACAATTATACCATTAATTAGAAGTATAGATTATAATACTACAATTACCCCCTTACTTATAGCTATACATTATAATAATACAATTACAGCATTACTTAGAAGTATACATTATAATAATACAATTACACCCTTACTTATAACTATACATTATAATAACACAATTATACCATTACTTATAGCTATACATTATAATAATACAATTATACCATTAATTAGAGGTATAGATTATAATACTACAATTACACCCTTACTTATAGCTATACATTATAATTATACAATACTACCCTTACTTATAGCTATACATTATAATAATACAATTATACCATTACTTAGAAGTATACATTATAATAATACAATTACACCCTTACTTATAACTATACATTATAATAATACAATGCTACCCTTACTTATAGCTATACATTATAATAATACAATTACACCCTTACTTATAGCTATACATTATAATAATACAATGCTACCCTTACTTATAGCTATACATTATAACAATACAATGCTACCCTTACTTATAGCTATACATTATAATAATACAATGCTACCCTTACTTATAACTATACATTATAATAATACAATTATACCCTTACTTATAGCTATACATTATAATAATACAATACTATCCTTACTTATAGCTATACATTATAATTATACAATTATACCATTAATTAGAAGTATAGATTATAATACTACAATTACACCCTTACTTATAGCTATACATTATAATAATACAATTATACCATTACTTAGAAGTATACATTATAATAATACAATTACACCCTTACTTTTAACTATACATTATAACAATACAATTATACCATTAATTAGAAGTATAGATTATAATACTACAATTACACCCTTACTTATAGCTATACATTATAATAATACAATTATACCATTACTTAGAAGTATACATTATAATAATACAATTACACCCTTACTTATAACTATACATTATAATAATACAATGCTACCCTTACCTATAGCTATACATTATAATAATACAATTACACCCTTACTTATAGCTATACATTATAATAATACAATGCTACCCTTACTTATAGCTATACATTATAATAATACAATTATACCATTACTTAGAAGTATACATTATAATAATACAATTACACCCTTACTTATGACTATACATTATAATAATACAATGCTACCCTTACCTATAGCTATACATTATAATAATACAATTACACCCTTACTTATAGCTATACATTATAATAATACAATGCTACCCTTACTTATAGCTATACATTATAATAATACAATTATACCATTACTTAGAAGTATACATTATAATAATACAATTACACCCTTACTTATAACTATACATTATAATAATACAATGCTACCCTTACTTATAGCTATACATTATAATAATACAATTACACCCTTACTTATAGCTATACATTATAATAATACAATTATACCCTTACTTATAGCTATACATTATAATAATACAATTATACCATTACTTAGAAGTATACATTATAATAATACAATTACACCCTTACTTATAACTATACATTATAATAATACAATGCTACCCTTACTTATAGCTATACATTATAATAATACAATTACACCCTTACTTATAGCTATACATTATAATAATACAATTATACCCTTACTTATAGCTATACATTATAATAATACAATTATACCATTACTTAGAAGTATACATTATAATAATACAATTACACCCTTACTTATAACTATACATTATAATAATACAATGCTACCCTTACCTATAGCTATACATTATAATAATACAATTACACCCTTACTTATAACTATACATTATAATAATACAATTATACCCTTACTTATAACTATACATTATAATAATAATATTATACTCTAACTTATAACTATACATTATAATAATACAATGCTACCCTTACTTATAACTATACATTATAATAATACAATGCTACCCTTACTATAACTATACATTATAATGATACAATCATACACACTTATAACTATACATTATAATAATACAATGCTACCCTTACTATAACTATACCTTATAATGATACAATCATACACACTTACTTATAGCTATACATGAACCTTATATTAATCCTATTATACCCTAACCTATAACTACACGTTATCATCAAAATTATAAACTAATTTCAATAGTGTCTCCTTATCGTTTATCGCATATCCCAAATTCTTACATCCGTTAATTGAAATAATGACGGCCGTAACATACCTAATACCTACAAGGACAAACACAGATATTGATATCAAAAGTAATAAAATTTGTTAGCAAATATTGTGTTACAATCAAGAAGCTTGACCATTATAAGATTGAGTCACAAGACAGGGTATATTTGGTTGACGTGATGACATCAGAGACTAGTTACCTGAGTCATTAGTTATTATTACCTAAGGAGTATTAATTCATGTCACTTACCTTTCATTGTAACTGTGTGTAGGTTCCCACTACGACATCGTCACTGATCCCTGTACCTCCAGTCCAGACATCTCGAAATGTGTAGGATAGATAACGGTGTTTGTTGTATCTCTCTACACATTCACTTTTATACGTGTGAATTTCACAGATAAACAGAACACCGCTTTACATAAATTCCACAGTTTCAGATATATATCACCAAGTTTTACATATATACCTTAGTTTCAGATAAATATCACCGAGTTTTACATATGTACCTTAGTTTCAGATATATTTCACCGAGTTTTACATATATACCTTAGTTTCAGATATATATCACCGAGTTTTACATATATACCTTAGTTTCACAGCTACACAATTGAGTTTCACAGATATATCACAGAATGTGTCGGCGATATCAGTTTCACAGATATATCAAAGAATTTGTCGGTGATAGCGGTTTCACTGATATGTCACAGAATTTGACATAGATAGCAGTTTCACAGATATTCCACATATACGACTGTGTTGTTAAACGTTTGTACATAAATGATAGGAATCCCCAGTATATCAGCGACTTGTGGGCACCTGTTTTTATATGGTAGATAATGCGGTCCGACGCAATCCACAAATAAAACAACTATGATTAAGATTGAACGAAGTTTTGCCTTTTTCTATAAATCCATCAATTTTGCTTGTGTCTGCTCAAGCCCTGGAGTGTGTCAGGCGGTTGTCACCAATGTTTGTTCATATTACAATACGCTCATTTGTATTAATAAAAACACAGCCTGATTTACATGTTTCGCGACACGACATGGGGTCTGTAGCGAGACGACTTTTTGACAGGAGCTTACACATCCAAGTTAATATATATGTATTGTAAACAATATAGATCATAGTGACATTTCTATTTCCTCACTTGATAGTACAATGTTGTTCATGATTTTATCACCAAACACAACAAAATACTGGAAAAAAATCGTCTTTGAGAAACGCAAATATTTTAAACGGGGACAGACCGACTCGAAATAGGCAGCACATTTTCTTACCTAGAAATACTAACAAGATATTCACTCTTAAGATCAAAGAAATTACATTTGTCTTTTCTTGTTTTAACTAAGTTTTTATTTCAAACATACTTATCAGATTTCACTTACATAAGTGGAATAAATTCACTCCGCGTTTATTTACTCAAACAGTTCGATACCATCTGCACTTACAGTTTAAATATATTTATAATCCTTTCTGTTCCCCATGTCGTTTTCGAGCTGTCGTAAAGACGTTTGCAATGTTTCATTCTAATATGCTTTACATGCATACCGGGTCAAGCATGGTCGGTGTGCGCGTCACCACCCTAATTACAGCTTATTACAGATGGTAAGTGTGGCAAAATTAATGACATTGCTACATCTCGTCAAGACGGTCCTGATGTTAAACATTATCTTGACTGCAAGAAGCCGTTGGTTCTTACCTTATAAATTCTCGTTTAATCCAGAAAGCAGCTGATATTCTTAGTTATCCTCTTCAAACTTTATTTAAATATCCTCTTACAAATTGCACGTTACACAATTCATCCGTCCTAAATATCTATCGTTTCATGTCTGTATTATCTATTAATCTATTATCGGCACCCGTCCCATGTCTTTATTATCTATTATCGGCACCCGTCCCATGTCTGTATTATCTATTATCGGCACCCGTTACACATCTTTATTATCTATTATTGGCACCCGTCACACGTCTTTATTACCTATTATTGATACCCGTCCCATGTCTGTATTATCTATTATCGGCACCCGTTACACATCTTTATTATCTATTATTGGCACCCGTCACACGTCTTTATTATCTATTATTGATACCCGTCCCATGTCTGTATTATCTATTATCGGCACCCGTCCCATGTCTTCATTATCTATTATCGGCACCCGTTCCATGTCTTTATTATCTATTATTGGCACCCGTCCCATATCTG